AAGTAAAAGTACACAAGAATTATCAATACAATAAACTTAAAGTATCAAAAATAAAAGTACTGCAAAAAAAGGGGCCTATATAATTATTATAACATGATTAACTTATTAATCCTGAGGCATCATTTTACTGTTGTAGCTGCTCCAGGTGGAGCTGCTTTACCTACATCATGTACACTGGTTCCCAACCTACAGGTTGGGCCCCTCCAAAGGGGTCAGCAGGTAACTCTGAGGGGACATCAGATGATTCATGGGAGAGAAGAAACAAAGTTCAGATTCACTGATCTGGATTCAGTTTTCAGACTTTTCTCTGATCTTTGAGTTTTAGTGAAATATTAATCATTTGAACAGTGACATCTTTTATTGTTATCTGGTGACCCTCTGGAGGGGCCCGACCCCCAGGTTGGGAACCAGTAGACTGAACTGTCTAAGCGTATATGACGTAGTTAAAGCAGCTACAACAGTGGGATGTTGTAACAACAGGAAGTACTTTTACTGTGATACTCCAACTACAGGAAGTACTTTTACTGTGGAAATCCTTGTACTGTAACCACATGAAGCTGATAATACTTGTACTTTTACTTAAGTAGGATTTTTAATGCAGGACTTTTGTTTTAATATTGTTGATGCAAATTCCTAATAAATGATAAAATTTGTTTATATGTGTATGTTAATGTTTTCTCATAGAAGTTAATGGTTGAATGAGAAATAAAGTTTTTAAATGACCTGAGAATAATTCTTCCATGTAAACAGGTCAGAGATACACTGAACACATGATCATATTCTCCATCTATTAATTTATACCTTGTCCTTTATCAGCTGCTTTTTTTCCTCTGAAACTGAGAAATGAACAAAGACTCAGACGCTGTAAAAACAAACCCATTACTTCTTTATTAGTTAGTCATTTTACAGTAGTCACTCATACGTAGCTGCCTTGAGTTGGTCTTTTTGTGTCTCTTTTTACTTTTTGTTTCAACTTCTTCCTCATTTTCTTTCATCAACACAACGGAAGAGTCATGGACAAAGAATAAAAAAGAACAAAAAACAAACAGGAAGAAATAAACAGAATAAATGCCCCTTCTCACAACAAAACTACATTTGGCAAAAGGTGAGGATGAAGGTGATGATGATCCAGTGCATCTTTAAAACATTGATTCAGCTTTTACTAAGATAGAGACGGTGAGATATGTCAGGGCGTCTGATTGGATAAGAGCTTTCAGGAGTCAGGGATTATCATCCAATCAGATTTGATCTCCTCACTTGTTGCTAGGTGAAGTTTGAAGCATCATGAACAGGATGTGTCGGCCCCACGTTACAGTAAAAAAAATAACTAACTCACAAAAGAATACAAAAAATAAAATATAAAAACTGACCCATTCAGACTTGAACACAGTGACACGTTGATCTGGTGAGTTTATGGCACAACATGGCGTCATGGCGTTCTAAAACTTTACAATAATACTTTTTATTTCATGGACTACAGTGGCTCCGACACTGTCACCTGTTGTTCTGTAGCAGGCTAACACTGGTTGGTTAGCTAGTGTTAGCTTGTTACCCCAAGACTGCTAAAATAATAGCGATGCAGGTCTGAGGTTTAGAAAATGAATTTGTATAACACAACGTCCATTTTCCCGCTTTTTTTCTCCAGCTGATTTAAATGGTGGCCGCAGTTTTACGGCTGTGTTTGACAGCAGAGGTGACGCAACGACATGGTGCGGCGTGGCTAATGTGGAATCAGCTAACCAGCATGGCAGATCCACACAAACTAATCAATTATCTCTGTCATCATTCTGACTGTAGTCCATGATCGATTGGCTGTTTGATTTGTCGTTGTCATGTACATTTGAAAATATGACAGAACATATTTGACCCCCCCTCCCCCTCCCCTCAGTGCCACGTGTCAGACAGCCAGTTCACACATGAAGACAAAGAAACATGAGACAGTCACAGCTGACTGAAGACATGAATGTGATCAGCTGTTTGCTTTCCCACAACGTCAAACATCAGGGCGTCGTTTACAAAACATCTGGTTTGTGTTGTTTACCTAAAAATCAACCAATCAGTCGATTTCACTGACTTTTGTGTGTGACATCAATAATTAACTTTCACCATCCGATTCAGGTTTGAGTCCACTTTTCATAAGTGAGGCCCCTGAGAAACTACGGAAGCCCGTTTCAGCCAAGAAAACAAAAACAGGTGAAATGTCAGAAATGACAAAAAAAGGAAAATACTGGTTAAATGAAAATTATGAGACAGTATCTTCTGATTCTTTGATTTGATACTGATCGGAATTATTATACATTAAATCAAGATGATAAGAAATCTGCATCTCAGATTCAAGATTATGAAATGAATCAAGATTCTCAGATAAATGGAGATTATGAGATAATGAACTGGAATAATTTTAATAATCTGAATTATGGGATCGTAAATCAGGATTATGGCCTTTCAAATCTCTCAAAAATCGAGATTCTCAGATAAAACAAGATTAAATCAAGATCATGAGATAATGAATCGAGATTTTAAAATGGTGAGTCAGTGAATAAAGATCATAAGACAACATCTGAACCAAGATCAAAAGATGGTAAATAAGTCAAGATCATGACAGTGGGTCAATGAGAGTAAATCATAATTCTGACGTAGTTCATCATAATCTTGTATTTTATCTTTTCTTTCTGAACTTTTCACCTGTTTTTTCCTGTTTCTGGCAGAAATGAGCTTCCACAGAAAACAGATTCATATTCATCAACGCAGCAAACACAGAAAGTGACGTTCATGGTGTCCAGATAACAGAGTGAGAAACATCAGAAACAAAGTGTGAGATGGAGATTTAGCAGGAATGTCTCAGTTTGGATGGAGAGCTGCTGCGATGGCACAGAATAAATTAAAACCTGCTTTAAAGACAAAGAAAAAAAACAAAATACTCCTGAGAAAAAACATGATCGATCAGTTCTCCAAGAGAAAGTGATCAGAGGTGAAGAACAGGCAGACGGAGGGAAACAGCTGATGTCAAAAACAAAAGGGGAAGATGAGTGACTGAGGCGAATGTTGAAGACATTGAGGCTCAGATTCAAACACACCCAGCGCTGTCGGTCTGTTCTCACCCACACACACACACACACACACACACACACACACACACACACACACACACACACACACACACAGGAGGGAGCATGAAGGAAAACACCTCGAACCAAAACCACACCTGACCAAACTTCACCTGCAGCGCCGCCCAGAAGACAAGAGCTGAAGCCGTTTAAAGAACAGTCTGACATTTAGCCTAGCTTAGCACAAAGACTGAAAGTAAGGGGAAACTGTTAGCCTGCAACCCTCCAACACCTCCAGCCTGATGGACAGGTTGAAGCTCAGACTGGTTCTCTTCTTGTTCAGCTGCTTGTTACCGACTGATTCATGACGTGAAGTCGTCGTCTGTGTGTCAGCTGATCTTCACTGCGCTCACACCCTCCCTCCATCTTTGTCCGTCCAACGCTTCAGGACTGAAATCATCTGACTGGAGTTTATCAGCCGCTTGTGTTTCACGTTTGAAACTTTTCTGTTGAGTTCATTATATTTCTATATTTTTGGTTGTAAATGATTAAAGTTTAAATCATTGGTGAGGAGGTGGGGGGGTTGACCTTGCCACTGCAGCCACACCACCTCTGCCTTTGTTAAAGTTCCCTGCTGGAGGAGGGAGGGGTTGCCCTTCAAAATAAAGCTCATCCATTCTTATTAACTGAAGTGTGAGGATCAAACACTTTGAGCAGATCATGAACGACTTCATCCTGCATCACACACACTCTCACACACTCTCACACACACACACACACACACACACACACACACACACAGTCTGGATGGTTCAGGTACATTCATTCTGCTCAGCTTCAGCTCTGATCGCAGCCTCTGACCTCTGACCTCTGTGCACTTTTCTTCTATAAACTAATTTTACCATTTACATTCTGTCTTTAACCCAGGAAATAATGATGAGCTGCCCCCCCCCCCCCCTTGTCTGTTCGATCGACATCAGACTGAAAACACTGTAACACCAGGAGGCCCTGAAGGCAACACCTGAACCTCAACATGTCGCCCCCCCACCACAGGAATCATTAATATGAACTAACACCAACGACATCAGACGTCCGTCTCGTTTGGTTTGAGGTTTGAATTTGAAATGAAAAGGTTCGTACACATGACGTCGTGTAGCGTTGAGTTTACTGACCCCCACCCCACCCCCACCCCCGTCACAGCGTCATGAACAACCAGGACCTGGACTCTCGGTTCAGATTCAAGTGACTGAACCTGAATCAGCTGAACTCACAAAGAAGATTCACTCTGATTCATCTGTTCATCACATTTAAACCCACTTCACCCCCCCCCCCCGAGACGGACAGCAGTTTAGAGACACACATGTTCAGCCTAGCTTAGCACAAAGACTGCAAGCAGAGGGAAACTGTTAGCCTAGCTCCAGCACCGTCTGATTTTCACTCTGACTCTGCAGACACAAACGTCAGACTGTTGAAGATGGAACCTATCAAACGTACGACTCTGACTTCCTGTGTGTGTGTGTGTGTGTGTGTGTGTGTGTGTGTGTGTGTGTGTGTGTGTGTGTGTGTGTGGGCAACAATAACTACAATCTGGAACATGAAGGAGGGAGTTTCCACATTTGTCCCTGTTCTGCAGCTACAGACAAGCAGGTGGACGCCGGGCGTGATGATTGGTCATAGGGTGGAAGGACGGAAGGAAGGAAGGAGGGAAGGGAAGGAGGGAAGGAAAGGAGTGTTTTAGAGGGGAGGGTTCAGAGATTAAGGGTCATTTACAGTAAACTACAGATATATACACACACCCAAAATTGTACAGAGAACAAATATGTACATGCTCAGGGTTTCTATTTTTTAACTATTACCGACAACTTTTCCCAAAATATGTCTCTCCTCCTTCTCCTCCTTCTCCTCCTCCTTCTCCTCCTTCTCCTCCTTCTTCTTCTTCTTCTTTTCCTCCTCCTCCTTCTTCTCCTCCTCGGTCGTTTCCAGCTTCAGGAGAAATGCTGCACAGGTCCTCTCCTCCTCTTCCTCACCTGTCTGTAGTGTAACGAGGTGGGAGGTGGGGCTTTCAGGCTGTCTGGACCGAGTGTCACGTGACATGGAGGAGGACTTTAGCTGTTCTTCAGCAGTGTTCTGTCTTCAGGAGGACAGGAGGAGGAGGAGGAGGAGGCAGATGTGGAAGAGGAGGATGAAGCAGCAATGGTGGCGGCAGCGGCGGAGGAAGAGGAGGGTGTGGAGGAAGAGGATGTGGAGGAGGAGGAGGAGGTGTGGGAGGGGAAGGAGAGCAGCTGTCCGGTCTCAGAGGAGAGGAGGGAGCAGGAGCGCAGGTCGACCGTCTGCAGGGAGGAGCAACGCCGCAGCAACGGGACACACTGCTCCGTCACTTTAACACAACCTGAAACACACACACACACACACACACACACACACACACACACACACACACACACACACACACACACACCTTTAAAGACCTGAGACAAACTCATTAACACAGGATCTGAGGACTCTCCAAAATAAAACAGGAAGTTAGAGTTTGGTCCTTTTACCTGCCAGGTTGATGTGGGTGAGGCTCTCTCTCAGGGGGGAGATGGGGGAGGTGAGGGTGTGAACCGTCTGGTCCGTGATGTTTCCGCTCTGACTCAGGTCTAACCTGGTCAGGTGAGGGACGTAACGCACCAGCAGACGAGACGACGCGTCCGTCAGGTCCAAACCGGCCAATCGCAGCTCGGTCACGTTCTGGAAACGCCCCACTCTGGTTTCACCGTGAGCTGATCGACCAATCAAGGAGCAGAGAGAGACAGAGAGAGAGAGAGAACAAGCAAACAGATGTCACAATAATTAAGATTTGAAATGTTTCTTTCACCATGAGACTTAAATTTAAAGACGGTAAAAACAGCTTGAAACGTAAGATGGACCCGTTTATTCTTATTTATTTATCTTTCTATTTGTTCATATATTTGAAGCTGTTTTACTGGTTTGTCCTTTTACTCTCTGATTGTTTTCTGTGTTTCTTTAATACCCAACTTTTACTTCTGTTATATAATTTTTTATATTTATTTCTGATTCTTTATTTTATTTCCACTTTTAAGGAAAAACTCTCAGTCGGTCGCACCTGTGCAAAGTGAAAAGGTTTGTCTGGGGCTCTGGGCACTTTAATGAGGGGTCTTGTCAACAGCAGGGTAGCAGGGTCTCTGTGTCTCACCTGTCCTGGTGTCAGGTGGGGGGGCGAGCAGCTCTCTCAGGTGCGAGTCTTTCAGGTCCTCCACTCTGCTGAGGTCCAGCAGCCTCAGACAGGGACAGACGGCCTGACACAGAGCCGACACCGCCGGCCACGGACACCCAGACACGTTCAGCTCCAGCAGACCTGAACAGGTGACACAGGTGAGTCACAGGACAGATAGCTGACGACGCCGTGAAGGTGATGAGCGTTAACAAAACTCAGCACAGACATTAAACTCAAGAGTCACTTACTAGCTTTGGTGAGAGCTTTCGACTCAATGCCATGACCTTGTTTAGCCAATGAAAAGGACCACCTGTCACCACATGACCTAAGTTACCTTGCAGGCGGTTGATGAGCCACATCAGCTGTTTCTTGGAGATGTTGGTATAACCCAGGTTGAGGGAGACGGGCTGTCGGCGGATGATACCGCTCAGCATGGGGGGGGTGATGGAGCGCTGCCGGCTCAGGTCGATCTGAGTCCACAGCCTCTTGTCACAGCACCTGAAGGAGACGCACAGCTTCAGACGCCGTTTACTGTACAGAGCCTAGCCCGGGCTAATGTTAGCCTAAACTAGCAACATTAGCATTTGGAGACCGTCATGGCCGCTCAGTCTGTTGTGATATTTTCACAGTAGTATCATTCCTGTTATTCAGTCACTACTGCTTACACACTATATGGAGGTGTGTGTGTGTGTGTGTGTGTGTGTGTGTGTGTGTGTGTCTCAGTGTTGACCCTTTTCTCCTGAAGAGGTTTTGAAAAAGTGGGCGTCGTCTTATTACATCAGATATAAGTGTTACACGGTCTCCTACAGAGAGCGTTGCATTATGGGTTGTTTGTAGCTTTAAAGTTGCGAGGCTAACGAGTGTTTCCTGTGAGTCATTTATATTATTGTTTTGTTACTTGTATCACCATCTTGTTTTTTGTGCTTTTATTGTGAAAACCTTCTGGTCTCACAGTTGTGACCTCATCACACTGAAACTGTGACATCGTCATGTGACGAGGTGCAGGTCTGAGGACTCACCAGCGGCTCCAGGTGCGGCAGACTCTCATGCAGACGCAGAGCTCGCGGTGGCTCAGGTAGGTGAAGACTCGCAGCCACACGTCCCGGGTCATGATGTGGGAGGCGCCACAGTCCAGAGGCAGACAGCTGGGCTCGGGGCAGGTGGGGGGCGGGCGCACCAGGTGCCTCTCCATCTGAACGGGACGGGGGGGCGAGGGCACGGCCGGCGGGCTGCGCTTCATCATCTGGGAGCGGGGCGCAAGGCGCGACGGCTGGGAGCAGGGAGACGCTGCCATCGCTGACATCATCAGGCCGCCTCCCCCTGGGCCCCCCCCTCCACCACCGTTTGAGGTGGGGATGGAGGAGGAGGAGGAGATGTTCCTGGACACCTGGTTCTTGCTGTTGCTACGGATCTTGTTGCCACGACTCCCGCTGCCTTTAGTCCCACCCCCTCCTCCCCCACTGTGTCTGTGATTGGTCAGAACCCCGCTGGCATTCTCCTTCTCCCCTCCCTCCCTCCCCCCTCCCGTCCCTCCTCGTGTCCGTCCGTTGCGCGCCTCCTGTCCGTTGCTGCGCTGCTTCCCCGGGAAACCGTCATGCTGCGAGGACGGAGTCATCTGATTGGAGGAGAGGGGTGAGGGCGGGGGGAGGGAGGAGGAGTTTTTCCTGGTCCTGTCCTCCTCCTCTCCATCCAACAGCCCTCCTTTCCGTCCTCGCGGCGGTATCCCCGCCTCTCCTCCTCTCCGCCGGACCTTGTCCCCCCCTCCACCTCCCTGCTCTTCCTCACGTTCCTCCTCCTCCCCCCTCCCTCCCTCCCCCTCCGACTCCTCGCTGGCGCTGAAGCCCAGCTCGGCCAGACGTCTGTCCCGCTCCCTCTCTCTCTCCCGCTCGCTGCGACTCCTCTCCCTCTCCGCTCGACCCCCGCTGCTATTCCCATAGACAACAGGAGGAGGCGGGGCGGGGGAAGAGGACGACGGCGAGGAGCCTCCCCCCTGCTCCCCCCTCAGGGACTCATCGGAGTCAGACTCGGAGTCAGACTCGGAGCTGGAGGAGGAGGAGGAGGAGGAGGAGGCCCGACGCTCCAGCAGACACATCCTCTTAAAACGCTCCAATTTCTCTCTGTGGTGGGAGCGCTGGTCTGCACTCGACGTCCCCCCTGCTCCTCCCCCTCCTCCCCCACCGCCTCCTCCGGGCTGCGAAGAAGAAGAAGTGGAGGAGCCCTGCAGTCCTCCAGCTCCTCCTCCAGCCGAGGAGGCGGGGCCGTTGGACTCCAGCGCCTCCTGTTTGGGTTTCTGATGGAGAGAAGAGTCGTTTCAATTACAGCTGAACAACAAACACCAAGAGCNGTATAAGTGAAAGCAACAAAAAAACAAAGGAGCGAGGGGGGGGGGGGGGGGGCTGATCAGTGTCAATAAGAGAAGAAAGTGTGAATGAAGCGTTTGTACCTTTTTGAGGCGTTTTTCATGGGCTCCTTTCATCTGGAGGGAAACAAGCAGGAGAGTCAGTCGGAGCTTTAACACACACGAACACACCAGACCACACCCACTCATACAGATCCTTCAAAATAAAAGCCCTCCAGTGACACCTGTGCCTCAGATTCCCAGGCTTTTATTGTGAAGCAGCTGCAGCTCCAGTGAAGTCCTGGATCTGAACCGGATCAGGATTATCGTCATCACGGTGCCCACCTTCTTCTTGGGCCCGCTGTCCTGAGGCAGCTCCTTCTCCTTCTTCCTCTTGTGCCCCCCCTCCGTCCTCCCCCCCTCGTCCATGGAGGGAAGAGCTTTCTTTTTAGGGGGAGGGTCGTCCGTGAGCTTCCAGCGACCTACCTCCCCGTTATCCAGCCGGCGCTTCCCCGAGCCGTCGGCCTGGTCCTGGAAACACACACACACACACACACACACACACACACACACACACACACACACACACACACACAAGTCAACCTGTTAACCCACTCTTCTCATCATACATGAGCTATGACTGAAACTGAACTGTGACAGCTGATTGGTTGTCGTTACACACAACGTTCACTGAGGCTAATGGTATTAGCTTGTTCAGGCTAAAATAGCGACAGCTCATAACGTGAGCGAGGTGCTCACAACATTAGCAGCTACAGTTCTCAGCGTCAGAATATAACACTGACTTTCTGTCACTATAACTATATGTAGAGGTGTGTGTGTGTGTGTGTGTGTGTGTGTGTGTGTGTGTGTGTGTGTGTGTGTGTGTGTGTGTGTGGGGTTAATCTGGTACGGTGGCCTAGTTATGACATCTCACCGACACTAAAGACGCAGCTTTAAATCAGAAACTACCAGTGAATAAAAACTTAATGATCTGGCAGATAATTAACAGACAGATGAACTAGTTTCTGTTTAATTAGTTAAAATGAGACAAAGAAATAAACATCAGCAGGGGAACCAGTCTTAGTCCCTGAGGTCCCGAGTACTGGTCCCAGGTGCTGGTCGGACTCACCTTACTGGTCTTGCCCTCCTTGTGGCACTTGGGACACTCCCAGCAGTTTGGGATCTCATCGTTGATGATTCCTTCAGCTTTGCCCATCTGAGGAGAGAGAAGCACGACACGCTGAGCACGCTGTCGGACAAACACAGGTTCACATCAGGAGGTGGTCCAGGTCTCCGTCAGCTCCACAGCACCCACCTTCAGACAGCTGGGGTGGATGATCTCGTTACAGATGGTGCACTCCATCAGAGAGAGGCTGAACTTCTCCTCCTCCGAATCCACGGTGTCCTCCTTCCCCGCCTCGCCACACGCAAAACACACCGCCGTGTGAGGCAACACCGGCTGTACAGAGAGAGAGACAGGTGAGTCAGACAGGTACAGAGAGAGAGAGACAGGTGAGTCAGACAGGTACAGAGAGAGAGAGACAGGTGAGTCACACAGGTACAGAGAGAGAGAGACAGGTGAGACAGACAGGTACAGAGAGAGAGAGACAGGTGAGTCAGACAGGTACAGAGAGAGACAGGTGAGTCAGACAGGTATAAGGACACAGACAGGTGAGACAGATAGGTACAAAGAGAGAGACAGGTGGGTCAGACAGGTACAGAGAGAGACAGGTGAGTCAGACAGGTACAGAGAGAGAGACAGGTGAGACAGACAGGTACAGAGAGAGAGAGACAGGTGAGTCAGACAGGTACAGAGAGAGAGAGACAGGTGAGTCACACAGGTACAGAGAGAGAGAGACAGGTGAGTCAGACAGGTACAGAGAGAGAGAGATGAGTGAGACAGATAGAAACAGAGAGAGAGATAAGAGAGATAGATACAGAGAGAGAGAGAGAGAGACCGGACAGATGAAGAGAGATGGAAAGACAGCGAACAGTATGTCATCCTCTGCATCAACACCTCGCTTCACCTTNAGAGAGAGAGAGACAGGTGAGACAGACAGGTACAGAGAGAGAAAGACAGGTGAGACAGACAGGTACAGAGAGAGAGAGACAGGTGAGACAGACAGGTACAGAGAGAGAGACATGTGAGACAGACAGGTACAGAGAGAGAGAGACAGGTGAGACAGACAGGTACAGAAAGAGAGAGAGACAGGTGAGACAGACAGGTACAGAGAGAGAGAGACAGGTGAGACAGACAGGTACAGAGAGAGAGACAGGTGAGTCAGACAGGTACAGAGAGAGAGAGACAGGTGAGACAGACAGGTACAGAGAGAGAAAGACAGGTGAGACAGACAGGTACAGAGAGAGAGAGACAGGTGAGACAGACAGGTACAGAGAGAGAAAGACAGGTGAGACAGACAGGTACAGAAAGAGAGAGTCTGGTTTCTTTTTCCTCTTTGGATGAAGTTCAGTGAGAAATAAAAACTGTTCTCCTGCGGAAGAAGAACACTGAGGTTCTGTCTGTTCTCTGACATGGAACAGTTCAGTCCCTCCACAGGACCAGGACCAGGACCAGGACCAGGACCAGGACCAGGACCAGGACCAGGACCAGGTCTCAAACCCGCTCTCAGCACTGAACCTGATGAAACCTGGTTCTGGGTCCCTTGAGGTTCTGGTTCTGTGATACTGTCATGGATCTGTTCTGTGTATTGTGGGAAAAAAAACGACTTGTCTTGATTTGATATCTATTTAATTTTATTATTTTATTCCTGCGTCTTGTCTCAGACGTGAGTTTGAATGTTAGTGATGTGACCTCTGAGAATCCACCAGAGGGCGTCTCTCCTCCTGCTGCAGGGGGAGGAGAGGAGCATCCCTCCCCCCTTCCTCCTCACCCTTTCCTCTCTTCTACTCCTGCAACCCCCCCACCCCCACCCCCCTCCTGCTGCTGCTGCTGCTCCACCCGTAAGAACAAACAAACAAATAAATAAATAAATCTACAACAGAAATAATATGAACAGAAGCAGATCTCCAGGCTCAGTGTGTGTGTGTGTGTGTGTGTGTGTGTGTGTGTGTGTGTGTGTGTGTGTGTGTGTGTGTGTGTGTTAAAGCATCTCTGTGAAACCACGGAGATGGATCAAAGCCAACTCACAGCTCCAGCAACCATCTCTGGTTGCCACGGAAACCCAGCATCGTCGCCTGCTGGGCTCCAGCTCTCCACTGATGCTATTTGAAGAATCGACACAAATGGAGAAAAGAAAAAAAAAAAAAAAAAAAAATCACACCTTCAGTGTTTGAAGATGTTCTGAGTCTGTCTGTGTGTGAGAGGACATGTTGTCCCCCGTCCTCTCACCCTCAGAGCACAGGCTGAGGGTCCAGACCTGGTTTTAGAACCAGGTCTGACAGTGACAGACTGAGTTGTGACAGCTGTGGATGTTTTTAATTTGCTGGATTAGACCAGGAACACTGCGTGGTGTGTGCATGTGCGTGTGTGTGGCGTGTGCGTAACATCTTTCCTTTCATTTCAGCGCCCATGTTAACATGTTAGAGCGACACACTGCCTGCGTGGCGGCTGCATTGCGTGATTTACAGATTCCACGTCTCGCCTGTTTTTCACACATGATACGAGAAAAGTCCCGATGATGTCATAGCGACATCATACCAGCAACATTACATAAAGGGTTAGAGTTAGCTCTGAGTGGAACACCTTGAGTATAAGCTTGAGCTTCGACCTGAGAGGCCAGACATACGACCTTTAACCTTGGACCAAATGAGAGTATGAGGGAAGAAAGAAGAGGCGACATAAAAAAGGTTTGTGTTTTTTTTTTAAAACATTATAAAATAGCAACAGATAACGTAGCTATCATTAGCTTTAGCAGCGTTAGCTTATATACAGTCTGTGGGTGTTCCTCTTAGAGCTCCCCCTAGAGGCCTGGAGCTCTGACGCTGTGTTGTCTGGATGTGCAGCGTTTACTGTTGCATGTGTTTTGGAGGTTAATGTGTTTTTGTTGTTGCATCGTTTCTGTATTTGCAGCGTGTTTGTTTGTTTGTTTGTTGTTCATGTTTTTGTTTTCTCTTCCTGCAGCTCATTTCGTTCTTGTATTTGTATTTTGTATTCTCATGTTTCTGAATCTGCAGCTCGTCTCTCCTGGTGGAAGTGTTTTGTCCTTGTCGGCCACTGTAGGTTCCTTTAATATTGATTAGCTGCTGATACAGAGTCTGATCTGATGAACATATTGATCTAAATGTTGATCAGATCTGAACACCTGATCTTTCATGAAGATCCAGACTGAAGGTTCTGATGTGGATGAAAGTTGAACTGGAGGATCTTCCCTCACTAAAGATCTCTGCAACTGCAAGTGCTACTGAGGCCCATCATCACGTCGCTCTCAGAACTGTGGTTAATTAGCGACATGTGGTGTCACCCGCCATCAGCATGCTGGTGATTACACCTGCTGAAGGTGATGATCAGCGCTGGCTCAACACCTGAAGCCAGGAACACACTGCCTGTGTTGTGTGAGCGTGGCTGAAGAGAATCATGTGTGTGATCACACCAGCTGTGTCTCTACAGAGTTTACTGGTTACTGGATGTTGGATTTCTCCTCATTAATAATCCATTTGATTTATTTTTGACAGACATCGTGAGTAAAATGTCTCTTTCGCCACATGCAGCTGCTACAATGGCTAAAAAATATATTTGTATCTTTCATGTCTGTGTCATATTCAGATTCAGTGGAAGTGGAAGAGGTCACTTTTATGTGATGTTGCTGGTGTGATGTCATAGCAACATTCTCCAACATCAGGATCAGAGGTCAGAGTCCACACTGTCTGCTGGGTCCCGCTCCTCAGAGGTCAGAGGTCACTGTGTTTTCATGAACCTGAATCTGAGAAGTCACAGCTCTGCTACACAGGTGAACAGAGTCAACTGGCACCTGTCGACCAATCCACTCAGAGTGTGCAGAGTGTGAATACTGTGTGTGTGTGTGTGTGTGTGTGTGTGTGTGTGTGTCTCACCGCTGTGCACTGTCTCAGGAGGCAGGACTGCTTCATCCGGCCGGGCCCTCCGAACTTCTTCATGTCCTTACAGAAGTGACACTCTCCACACTCTGTCCTCATACAGGCCTGGCAGCGCCGGCACCGCGTCCGCCTGCGCCTCGCCCCCCCGCCAGCCCCCCCACCCAGCGCCTTACTGCCCGACATCCCCGAACAAGTCAGCTGCAGACAGAAGACAGACACAACGTGAACAGTGGAAACAGTCTGCACCTCATATGGTTAGAGTATGATCACAACAACAATTATTTTCATCAGTAAAAGGAAAAGCAGCAAACTGACACAGTTCAGGAGAATTTTCTGCATTTTTCTTTTTTTTTTTTTTTTTTTTAAAAGAAAAAAAAAAGAAAAGACTCGTCATGATTAATCAATTATCAAAACAGCTGCAGATCTATATTCTGTTGGTTGACTGATTAATTGAAGAGTCTTGGTGAGTTGGGAGGTCGGTGTCGATGTCCGGCTCAGACTGAAACTGACTGAGCAAGAATAATAAAAAACATGGACCGTCAGAACCACATGATTCAGCTACACAGAGCAAAACAAAACTTTCCTTTGGTACTACATTTTTCTCAAGTGCTGAACTACTGTATTCCTACGCACAAGCGCAACTACGGAGCGCACTGTATCATGCCGCAGCCACAGGTCAGCTGAGCGAATCAGAAAGAGCTAAACTTCACTTTGTTTTGGTGGGAAGATAAAGAGTGGAAAATATTCTACATTAAGCTTAATTTAAACAGATGTTAGTGTTTCAGTGACGTCTTTTAAAAGTGTCTAAAACAGGTGTTTTCTTCTGGCCCCGCCCACAGCAGCTCATCACTCTGCTAGCGCACCGGTCCTCCTGCTGCTCCTCGAAACTGAATCTACTGCAGGAAACACTCTGACTGAACATGACGACCTCACACAACCCCACGTCTGGTCACCTGAACTATCACTTTAATAATTAGAGAAAGCAAACATGGAGGTGAGAGGAGCAGGAGCTGGTATCAGTTTGTCCTGATGTTGTTGAGTCACAATAAAAATCATATATAATGGAACCTCTACAGTTAAATCATATCTAATCCATTCATCATGTGATCTTTAAAATGTCAGAGAAGTGATACATGTCTGTTATAATTTCCCACAGTCCGAGGATGTAGTCAAATGTTTGGTTTTGTTTGAGCAGTGGTCCAAAATAATTCAATTTTATCAAATCCATTTTAACAAAAAGAAAATTACAAGATACATTTTAGTTTTATTTTTTAAGCTTTACTCCCTCAGATGTATTTGTGTAAATAAACAGTCAATCGCCAACATCACTGGAACTTGGTCCAAGCAAGCCGCATGCTGATTGGCTCACTGACGCCGATGAGATTTACTCACTCACTCCTGAGGGATTGAATGATGAGGCATTTTTCAAACCTCGATAGAATCAAACTGAGTCGGTCCGTCCATAAAGGCATCGCAGTTCATTTCCCTGCTCTGTCTCTGTGAATAGGAAATAAACCAAGTGTCTTCACTCTTTTCCTACGTTTCCTCCTGCCGTCCACACGACTCCAGAGCTTCTGAGCACCTAAAACGCAGAGTTTTGGAAACACTGCTGGACCCATTTTATTTTGAAAACTCTGGGGTTGTGTTATAGTCTGGACAGAAAGTGAGACCTTTGTAAACGATGAGGTCACACCCACGGTCTCTCCTGATTGGCTCTCATCAGCCTGGACTACCAGTGGTGAAGACAACATGATAATGAATGACAGTGTTACTGACCTTGTTGTCTTTGCAGCTGTTGTTCAGTTACATTCTCTGTTTTAATGTTACAACTGTCTCTGCTGGAGACAATCTACTTCCTGTTTACACCGGGTTGCACATGCTTAGTTTAGGTGAATGGTCATGTGATGTGTTTTCAGGTGTGACAGTCTGGATGGAAATCGATTTCGTTTGAAAATGAAACCGTAGTCGTATGGATGTAGCCATAGATCACAGGCAGTAGATCTAAAAATAAGAAAGCTTGTAAAAACTTTATTCAATATTCTTGTTCGCTGTAATATCAGTGTGATGTTTTATTTCTGTCTAGGTGGTTGATTTTGATTGTTGTTGTTCTTTGTTCAATCTAAAAATGTGATTTGATGCTTTTCCGTTTATCAGCTTTGTAAACTGAATCTCCGATGAAACAAGACATCTGAGGATGTCACTATTTTCTGACACTTTACTCAAAACAAAAAATCAGATAAACAAGAAAATGATCAGCAGATAATAATAAATAATCATTATTTTAATATAATTAAAAAATGAATGTGACCAGATAAGATAAGAGTCAGATAACTGATTGGTAGAATCGTTCATTTAAAAACAACAGTTATTTAAGTTCTTGCTAAATAGAGCTGCTAGCTACTGTGGCTAGCAGTAATAATAATAATAAACAGTAATAATACAAATTTTTTACAAATATTTACACAGCAGTCCACTGCCATTTCCAACAGCTGCAACCACATCTAAAAAATACCTCGTTACTGTTCACAGCAGACAAGAATATATAACAAAATAATATCAAGAATATTTAAGACATTAAGAAATAAAATTCATGACCAGAAATACAACTATCAATTATGATCATTATCGATTATTCCGACACTTTTTCTAATTAGCCAATTGATCATTTTGTCTCTAACATGTCTGAAGATAGAAATAAATGGGCTTTATATTTCCAGATGTCTTGTTTCGTCTGAAAAACAAAGATATCTAGTTTCCTGTCATGTGTGACCAGGACAGCATCAAATCTTGACATTTAAGAAGCACAACACTTCAGCTAATCCTCATTTTTTCTTAAAAATTACCAACAATTAATGGATTATCTGAATGGGTGCTGATTAATTTTCTGTGCCGACTGATTGATTAATAGACCAACTGTATTTGAGGCCTTTACAACCTCCTCAGGTGATTTTGAAGGAGCTGATTTAAACGCTTTAAGACTTTATATGAACTGCGAGAATAATGAAGATGCGCATCTGGCACCACTTGGAGCTGCTAACGGCTAACAGCTAGCGTGTCACAGTAACCTACATTTAGTAAATGCAGCCAAACACAGGATACCTGCGGACGTTTATAATCGGCGTGTGTCGTTAATTAAAGAACCACATTTCTGAAATGACACATGATCCCTCCCCACCCCCCTGGTATCTGAAAAAGGTAACGATACGGTTGCTAACGTGTTAGCGGGCTAACTGTCCGTTCGCCCCCCGCATTACGCTTCCTCTTTCATTATCTCTCTGCTCCATAAATCACCCCAACCGGGCAGGTGGGGGTCAGCAAACACCTGGCTAATAATGGAGGTATCAAACTGCAGGTGCTCACCTCTTCGTATCAGGTCGCATGCTCCTCGGTCGCTCATTAGAAATAATATTAGCCAACAGTTAGCCAACGTTAGCTTCGGTGCAGCGCAGCTAGCTGTCCGCTTCCTTGTTCCTTTCTCCGCCAGGCTGCTGTTAGCTCCGGGCTGCTTCACACGCGTCCCATCGTGGTAGCCTCTGGTGCTCCGGCTAGCTCCCAGGCTCACCTAACGGACCCGTTGTGGGTTTAATGTCTCGATTACCAAACTGATCGATATCGATAAGTGAAGGGCGCAGTGAGTCGTGCCCATTCACTCCTCTCCCCCTCTCTCTCTTCTCTCTCTCTCGCTCTCTCTGTCGCTCTCTCTCTCTCTCCTGTGTGAGTCTACCTCTCTCTCCCTCCTCAGCACGTTACAACGTGTTCCTCTGCTCTTCTTCCCGGGGGGGTTCAAAACACCTCAAACCGCTCATTTACCGGAGGAGCAGGGTTTTAAAGCCACACTTGGTTATAACCCTCCACAGGAACTATGCGCCGCAGATCACCGCATGAACATGCATCAGATGTTGTGGATAACGAGCAGCGCGCCGCTATTGTTCTCCGTGTCTATTGTGTAGCGGCTGGCTGCGGGTCTGTGCGGGATCTTGGTTCAGTGTTGTGAAGGTCCAGGCTGGGTCTCGCGTGTGACACATTAACGCCCCCGCCCGCCCTCTCCCCTGCCACACCACGCACGCCACAACTCCCCTCCCGCACTGATTACATCACACAGGTGACCACACATACCGCGCTTCGTTTTTACCTCGGAGGAAGAGAGAGAAAATAAATAAATAAATGTAGTAAATAAAATATGGGCAGCGAGAATATGCAAGTCCCGCCTCTACGTGATTACGTCACGACGCGTCAGGTGCAGAAAGGCGTTCTAGGATTTGTAGTTTTCACAGTTTTGTTTTTATTTTCCAGCTTTACACTTTTAAGGAAACACGTTTATGTCAGAAAAATAAAAGATATATGAGTAAAAATACTCATGTAACTAAAAATGTGCTTATTTCAAGTTTAAGGCAACATGACATGACATTTAAAGTAAAAATTATGATAAAATTTGCCAAATCAAGTCCAGATTTTGACATGTGGGATGCGAAAGTGTTTTACTTTTGGAAATCTCCTTTTAACGACAAAAAGAAAAAACAAATTCAATATAGGATCAAAAAACTCACGATTAAGAGTTTGTTGCACTTATTTTAGTTTCTTAAAAATTAAAAATTAAAAAAAAGTAGTGTCTGCTCCCTCACCGCTCTTTGTTTTTACCTCAGAGGAAGAGAGAGAGAGAGAAAATAAAATATATAAATTTGTGGTTACGTCATGATGCGTCAGGTGCAGAAAAGCATTTTGGGATTTCTTTTTTGTGTCGTTTTTATAATTAAAGAAAATGTGGTTGTTAATTTAAAAGGAAATATCTTGCTGTAACTCATATGACATCTTAAGTTAAAATGTTACAATACTAAGACAACATTTGGATTTATCAAGACAAAATTATGAGATAATGAGTCAAATGTTTGAATTACATAGTCAGTGGGTAGTACTAATATTTGATTTGATTTGAAGTCAAAAAGGTAATTTGTGTATCTGCTGGGTGGAGCTGCAAATACTGTATAACAGGGATACATGAAGTTGTGTTGAATTGAAATTTTGGCTTACTAAGTCAAGATACTAAACCTTTCTCAATCTGTGGTTCTGTTTTTACTTGTGTTCTTGTGGTCCACATCTAGATGAGAAAATTACCATGTAGATTTATAGAGTATGGTCAGTGTATTAGAATAATGTCTGTTTGGAAATTCTCTTCAATGTTTTCAGAGATGTGATACCCAAATGGTCATCTGCGCAGCTTTCAGTCAGTGTCCATGATCATCTATCTTATCTGGATAGTTTGATAACAGATGTGCTCTGTGGAGCTTTGGGGTCCTTGCAGATATCACAACATTTAAATAAAAACCAATAAATTTGTTTATAAATTAAAAAACAGAGGCAGTGTGGTCTGTTTAAATTTAGTTACATTGTTGAATACACAGTACAGATTGGATTATGAAGTTTTTTTTAAGAAAGGACTTTTCACGGGAAAAAAATCATATTTTATTCAATTATTCTTTTTTTACTGTCTTTCAGGTTTGATTTGTAATTTCATAATTACTGAAGAGGATTAGGGCCACATGTGAATTTCTTTTTTTTTTAAATTCTGACTTTTTTCTTTTCTTTGAGTTTAAACTCAAAAAAAAAAAAATCACATGGCCCCTAATCCTCTAGCATACATAATCATGATTTATGGTATCATGATTTTAAATTAGCACAGTCTGTTTACATTTATTACTCACAAGTACACCACAAACAGTTTGGTTTATTCTAACATTATCTATATAATCCTTAAATATTCTTATACCAGTAACACTCACTATACTGACAAGCCTCCCTCCCCCTGTCCTCCCCCTCCTCGCCCGGCCTCTCCTGCTAGCTAACAGGCTAGGCTAGCTCGGCGGCTAGCAGCTCTCCTCAGTGTAATTAGTTGAGACGCACCGGCTCCATCCACATTACGGTGCCGTTAGAGCGAACCGACCCACCTAAAACTCACAGGCAGACCGCGCACACCACAGGGACACACAGTACCGGCGTCCACTGACCAAACAACTGAAGATGATTAAGCTCTTTTCCCTGAAGCAGCAGAAGAAAGACGAGGAATCTGCTGGAGGAAACAGAACAGGAGCCGGGGGTAAAAAAGCCAGCGCGGCCCAGCTCCGAATACAGAAAGGTAGGCTAGTTACCGACACCACTGCCCGGTTAGCTGGACGACTATCTGGCTGACTAGTTACCAATAAACCACAGGGTGACACCTCCTGCCCCCTTTCCCTCAGTGTACAAAATACATAAGTACACAGAGTAAAAGTGGGTGTTTATAACTCACTGTTGCTAACAGCTAGCGCGCTAACTTTAGCCTGGAGTGGTGTGAGCTAACGGCGGCTAGCTTGTGCTATATTTGAAAACAAAACGCAGACAGTCAGAAGCTAACCCCATCTGACGGTTAGTGTGTTAGCACACAGCTAACACTAAACAACAATGAATCCACATCACATGACGAGCTGCTAACTGATAACCACTTCACGTCAACAGCCTCTGATAATCATAACATCTCCAAGGCTAACGAGCTAACTTGCTGTGTCAGCTCTCAGGTTAACTGTATAAACTGTTTCTTTCCATCTGTTCAGGTGTAACAGCTTCACTGGCAGATAACCAGCTAGTTTTAGAGTCTTTCTTTGAGACGCCCAACGTTTTACTGATTACTGAAAACAAAGGTGATTTCTTCTCAGAGTCTCAGTCTGAGGCTTCATTAACACCTGAGGAAAAGAAACTACACACCTGTAAACTGACATGATGACAGATTTGACAGGTAGAGTCTACACCTGAGGTGTCAATCAGAGCCTGATGAAATTAGCCCTCTTTTTAATGTAGTCTTTTTGGTAGAAAACTTAGCTTACATGAGCAGATGTGTAATAACTGGAGTCTGTGTTTGTTCACATTTTGGGAAATTAATACGCCGAATTCACTCTGACCACCTCCTGTTTGCACTGTCTCCATGGATGTGCAGAGAACTGTCACTGGATCACTGTGGTACTGAAGAAAACTTCAAAACATGATGATTCTCAGCCGAGTCCTGGGGGGTCTATGTACAGTTTGTTTACATTCATTCTGGATGAACAGCAGGGATAATGATATGCTCAGGAAGTGGAAGTCACACTGAATCTTAAAATATGTTCTCCGTGGCAGGGTGTTCAGATCAGACTGAGTTATGGCAGATTTTGCCTTAATGTCCTCTGCTGTTGATCGGCAGGTAAACTACAACAACTAACTTCCTGTTGGCCTCAGATCACTTACACCTGTCTGTTTTCACCTCACCTGTTTCCCTCTGATCCTCATTTAGTTTAAACCTCTTAATAAAACCAAAGTAGTTGTTGTTGGGAAATTAAAACAACCTGCTAAAATCCACTATTACCCCACAATTTGGTGGAAAACCAACTAATGGCCGCTCTGACAGTGACACAGTTGTTGTTGTGGTTATGTAGTAAGGTGACTTCTGATTGGCACGTGGCTTTTCTCCTCATTAAAAATAGTTCCTTTGTCATTGTCAGTGTTTCAGGTATATTCACTCAGTCTCAGTGAGCTGCTGAACTAAAACATCTGTTAGTTAAAATAATTTCTTGTTTTTATTTCACTCTGTAAAAAAAACAAACAACTAACTTCATCTGTTTTATGTAACAACAGATAAAACCTGATATTTAAGAATCTGGGGCCAGTTGCACAAAACATCTTAAGTTAAGATTTTCCGTCCGAGTTAAGGTTTCTTTAAAGTAAAAATGGATTCTCAAAACACCTTAAGTCTTCCCTTTAAAGTTTCCTTAAATGTTCACTTAAGTATTCTGAACTGTTGTTAAGTTTAATGTGATAAATGAAGAAAATGAAAACATTCCAAGAGGGTGGGAGAACACAACGGACACCTTTAACAACGGGGAACTGATTTTACATCACATTGATAACAGTCGGTTTATGAGTGTCTGATCGGAGGAGGAGGTGATTCTAGTTATAGACTAAAAATGAATCAGCAGATAATCAATAGTAAAAATTATGGAAACATACACAATCTGTTATTTCTATTGATAAACTGAACTGAATGAAAAGTATTTGTCCTCTTATACTCTGTTTGTGTTTCAGACATCAATGAGTTAAACCTGCCAAAAACGTGTGAGATCAACTTCCCTGACGACGATGACCTCCTCAACTTCAGACTCATCATCTCACCAGACGAGGTGCGTCTGTTCACTTCCTGTCCTGGATCCTCTATCAGCCTCTGAAAATAGATTTAATATGCTTTGATTTAAACTGATCAATGCAGGGCAGGTTCGCTGATCACCACAGAACTCAGTATTGATCAATATTCTGATCATTTTCTTCAGGTGAACTCAGCTGGTATTAATCTGCTTTATTCCAACTCTGGATACGACCACCAAAATAAAACCCAGGTTGGAATAAAAGCCAAATCCACCTGAGAGGTCTGAGTGACATTACGCTGACCTGTCCCTGACCACCTGGGGCAGGACTCTGGGTCAGTGCGCTGACCTGTCCCTGACCACCTGGGGCAGGACTCTGGGTCAGTGCGCTGACCTGTCCCTGACCACCTGGGGCAGGACTCTGGGTCAGTGCGCTGACCTGTCCACCAGCTAAAACCTTGTGACCGCCATTTAAAAAAAATTGGAAATGATCAAAATCAACATCAAAATGTCTGGATGTCAGTGTCGGCTGGTAAAGAGACAACAGAGTCCGCCATTGTGGTTGTTGCGCCTGGTGCTAGTGTTGCTAGGAAACCAGTGACGTGAACAACTGTCCCTCTCTGTTGATCGAGCCAATCACAGTCAGCAGATTAATCGATCAGAGGTGATGTCACTGCGTCCAGGAGTACACCTGTACATCACAGCAGGTGAAAGGTCAGAGAACATGTGTCACGTTTGTGTTTGTGTTTTTCCAACAGGGTTTTTACAAAGGAGGAAAGTTTGTCTTCAGCTTTAAGGTGAGACACACCTGTCACCTGTCACCTGACTTCCTCTTCCTCTCTGTCACCTGTTCACAAACTAAAACTGATTTTCCATCCACACAGTGTGAAACCATTATTTTGTATTTGTTCCTTTCTTTATTATGAACATTCATTATTTATTTATTTATTTATTTATATATTTTATATATTTTATATATTTCTAATTTCACATGTTAGATTTGATAAATATTTTAGATTGTTCACAGATTCAGTTTCACTGAATCAGCTGATCTTGACCCTTAATCTGACACGTTTCATTGATCTATTGGAGTAAATTTACCAATCAATCAATCAATCAATCAATCAATCAATCAATCAATCAATCAATCAATTACTCAATCATTTAATAAACAGAGCATCAGTGGGTTCTCCATGAGCTGTTGTGGTATTAATTGATATTGATTGATTATTCTTTTCTTTCATTTGTCTTTTCTCACCTGAAAACATTCGTTCAGGTAACACTGACACACACACACTAACACACACACACTAACCCACACTAACACACACTAACACTCACTAACACACACTAACACTCACTAACACACACTAACACTCACTAACACACACTAACACTCACTAACACACACTAACACTCACTAACACACACTAACACTCACTAACACACACTAACACTCACTAACACACACTAACACTCACTAACACACACTAACACTCACTAACACACACTAACACTCACTAACACACACTAACACTCACTAACACACACTAACACTCACTAACACACACTAACACTCACTAACACACACTAACACTCACTAACACACACTAACACTCACTAACACACACTAACACTCACTAACACACACTAACACTCACTAACACACACTAACACTCACTAACACACACTAACACTCACTAACACACACTAACACTCACTAACACACACTAACACTCACTAACACACACTAACACTCACTAACACACACTAACACTCACTAACACACACTAACACTCACTAACACACACTAACACTCACTAACACACACTAACACTCACTAACACACACTAACACTCACTAACACACACTAACACTCACTAACACACACTAACACTCACTAACACACACTAACACTCACTAACACACACTAACACTCACTAACACACACTAACACTCACTAACACACACTAACACTCACTAACACACACTAACACTCACTAACACACACTAACACTCACTAACACACACTAACACTCACTAACACACACTAACACTCACTAACACACACTAACACTCACTAACACACACTAACACTCACTAACACACACTAACACCCTAACACACACTAACACACTACCACACACACACTAACACACAGTAACACACACACACTAACACCCACTAACACCCCCACACTAACACACACACACAAACACACACCCACGCACACACTAACACACACACCCTAACACACACACACTAACCCACACACACTAACACACACAGACAGCGAGGGTCGTTTCACACTGTGGCTCCAGAAACCTTGTAGTTAGTTAATAAGTTAGTTTTTGTCCATATGTTGTCGTGTATGAAAAGTGTCCCCTTCAGTGATAGAAACAAGTGTAAGTGTGTGTGTGTGTGTGTTTCAGGTAGGACAGGGTTACCCCCACGACCCTCCCAAGGTAAAGTGTGAGACAATGGTGTATCACCCCAACATCGACCTGGAAGGAAACGTCTGCCTAAATATCTTAAGGTGTGTACACGATTCCAATAGCTGTTCATTCTTCACCTGATTGATGAGAGGCTATGGACTCAAGGGCCACTTACTGACTTTTTCTGCTGACTAGAACTCTCCAAAACGAGCTAGTGACTGTAGCTTCAGTTATAGCCTACGGTGGCCCTGAGAGCTCAACACACGGCAACTGAAGAAAACACAAACAAATCCAGAAACAGCTTCATCAGCCTGTATTTGCAGCTCATGTCGTCAGACTGATGAAGATGTTCTCTGAAGTTGTTTGTGTTTGTCTGTTATCATGTGTTTTCTGAAGCTGCAGTGCTTTGATCCCTCAGGGCCACCGTATATAGACCCTCAGACTGCAGTGTTTTATTTTGAAAGGTAACTGTTCCAGGATGTGTGATGAGTAACTGAGCTCCATGTCTCCTTCCACAGAGAGGACTGGAAGCCTGTGTTGACAATAAACTCCATCATCTACGGTCTACAGTATCTATTTCTAGTAAGTCTGACTTCACTGTGAATATCTGTGTTGAGAAGCAAGAACAAACATCTTTCGCACTAAAGACTAAACGAGGAATTAATTAGCTGCCTCCCCCTCCTCCCCCTCCTCCCCCCTGCAGGAGCCTAACCCTGAGGATCCGTTGAACAAGGAGGCAGCAGAGGTTCTCCAGACGAACCGGCGGCTCTTTGAGCAGAACGTCCATCGCTCTCTGAGGGGCGGCTACGTGGGTGCCACCTACTTCGAGAGGTGTCTTAAATAACTCGGCGTCCCATGATCCTCCACCCCTCCCCTTCACTCCTCACCTCCCCCTGCTCCCCCTCTGCCTCACCCCTCCTTCCCCTTTTCCTCATCAGTCCTGCTCGTTGGCAGAAGCAGGAGCTGCTGCGACAGAAAGCAGCACGCCAGAAGACGCTTTTCTGTTTGAAAACAAAAGAAGACAAAGAACCCCCCCACACCACCACCACCTCCCTTCCTCCTCCTCCCCCCTACCCTCCCCCTCGTCTCCCATCTCTCTGTTTTACTTCCAAGACGCAGCATTCAACCGTTTACACGCCACAGGGGGTGATGCCGATACAACACACACGTGACTGGACTTGAAAAGACGGCCGACAGTGAGCGGCGGTCGAGGACGACGACGACGATGATGATGATGATGATGATGATGATGATGATAATAATGATGATGATGATGATAATGGGGACTGAGGGATGGGGGAGGGGGAGGAGGGGGAGGCAGGTGTGTGTGGTCAGTGAATGTTGCTCAGGTGAGTCAATGATTCAGTGAACGCCACATCGCTGCTGAGAGCGATACTGATGACGATGATACCCACATGATTTCTTTCTTTCATTTTGTGTGTGTGGCGTAGACACCTGACATCATACAGGTGGTCAGAAGGACACACCCCCCACCCCTCCACCCTCTTGCTGCCAATTGGTCACAAACTCCAGTCGGCAGCAAACTCCAAACATTAACAGCGTTCTAGTCAAACAACAGCCTCTGTTCACCCAAATGTCTCCCGTTGCCCTGGCAACCTGACAGCAGCCATGGCAACGGTCGCCTTGCAGCAACACAGCGATGACAAGACTTCAGGAACTGTTGATCGCCCAGAAAATAGTTCCAACAGGCAACGAAGCCCCTAATACCACAAATCATCGTATTCTCAGCTAGTACGAGGGGAGGAGCTTCAGATCACAATGGGAGGGGCATGTCAGTCAGAGTGGGAGGGGCTTGGGGTGAAGATGAGAACAGATGCGCCTTAACAACTCCCTCAAATTGCAAGTTCCCTTAAGGCAAGATGTTGTAACTCCACAGCTGTAGATGTAACGGTGGGGAGAGTGGGTGGGGCTTATTTGTCACAACACAATCAGGCACGCCTTAAAGAAAGATGGAAACATAGATTTAAGCCTGAGATGACTCCACAGCTCTATAATGGTGCTGGGGGAGGAGCTTGTTATAGTAGGAGGGGCTTATGATAATTGTGGGAGGGGCTTGTTGAGCTTCTGGGTTACAACAGGTGCAGACGTGCTTTAAACAGTAAGATGTCGATGTTTTCTACCTGCTACAACTCAATGGCTGGAGATGTGATGATGTCAGCGCTGGAGGGAGGAGCTTGTTTCCGTGTGGACTGAAGTGGATCACTGTGGGAGTGGCTTGTTAGACCCACTGTAAAATCAATGCAGGTTTGTCGAACTGCAGTAACTCTAGAAGTAAATTGAAATCTGGCTGCAGTTGATCACGACACTGTTGATCAGTTGCAGGTGTGACTCTTCACCTGACCAGACGCACAGATGTTGTTTGTTTAGATCACGCCAGAATTTATCAGTTTGGAGTTTGCTGCTAAATTTACACACACACACACACACACACACACACACACACACACAGAGCATCAGGGGCGGAGCTATGTTTCATGTGGGCGGTGCTGTTGTGGGGGCGGGGTGTTCAGTGTGTTTGTTTAAAGGAGTGGAGGGTGGGAGGGGTTTACGGTGGGGGGGGAGGGGTTTTGTTTTCACTGCAGGGTGGGGTGGGAGGGTTATTGTGGGCGGGATTAAAGAGGGGAGGGGCTTAAAATGTTATGATTCTATTGTGTATATTGAAACCCCAGCTGTTCACATTGACTGCAATATGATTTATGTTAAATAAAATATGAACTTGAATGATTATAACTTGTGACATCTGTTCAAAATCACTTCCTGTTTTATCCTCCAGACATTCTCTTCATGTGACACGTGTCCAATGAGGTTATAGATACTCTCAACTCAAAACTTTGTTTCCACTGCCATCAGGCAACACCTCAGCCAAAGAATGTGGACTAATGTAATTATCATTGTTTATTTATTATTAACTTTGTTAAATTTAAATCATTATTGTTATTTAAACAGGTCTCATTGAGTTCTGGAGCCAGTTTCACAGAGACGTGTCAGACTGGTCTGTGTGTTGGTCCAGATCAGTCTGTTTCATTAAAATACAGACTGATTCAGACCTAAGACCAGTGTTACTATGGTAACAATCAGTGACACCTGTGCTGAGCAGCAACACCCGGCAACAACAAAAAGGAAAACATGGCTCATAGTTTGTGGTTTGCCGACATTGTTTTGGAGAGAGCAAAGAGAAGGGAAAGAGATTTTAGAGATGGCGGCCATTTTGTTTTTTATTGTTTCACTCTTCAAGTAAAACGTCCTGTAACTGTTGAATTCTTCCTAAACACAAACATGTTCTGCTTAGAGGAAACTGAGCTCAGAGGTTGGATGCAGTTGCTCAATCGGTTTCATTTTTTTTATGTTGAAAAAAGTCTTAATTTACCCAGAATTCATTGCACCACAGTCTGGATTAAGATAGTCAAGAATAAAGTGCTTTGTGCAGCAGATGAATTCAGACTCAGTCTGAAGTCAGTTTGTCGTGTCTAAGACTCAGTCACAGTCTCTTTGTGAAACCAGCTCCAGGATCTTTTTCAAGACAAAATTACAGTTTATACAATTTATACAAAGACAGATAATTCACAAACACTTTCTCATTAAAAAACCGTGAGAACACTTACTGATGTTTTGAGATTTTTCATAATCACACTTTGAAGCCATTAGATGTACAAGAAAGAAATCACCTGTGGATTCTATGAGAAATCACATTCAACAGCTGAACAAAAGCTGCTGCTGCTGCAGCTGCTAAAGCTAATTCCAGTTTTCCTCGTTTCCTTTTTCAGTTTTTGCAGCTGAAGCAGAAATCATATATTTACATATATGACAAGTACTTTGTTATTTTAGTTTATTTTTATATAACTTTCAGAATTAAAAAAGCTGTTAATAAAACAGAAATCAAGCCCAAATGACTGATTCTTTTATTCCACTGGAAGATATAAACACCACTTTCATTATTATAAAGTGTTATTTGTTATATAACATAAATACATGTAAATAAATAACAGTCACATAGTTTGGAGTCCATTGTATTTTGTGTTTTCAGTTTTACTATATTCATTTCTATCATTGACTCTGTACCATGTAAATATTTACAGTGATGCTCGTTACAAGTTAATTCAGCTGCTGTTCATCTGATGTCCACTAGATGCTGCTGTGGTCAAACTGACTGTCATGAAATGGAACAGAAGAGCAGATGACAGATCAGAATGATGAAAATAATTCTTATAAAATCAGAAATATGAGACTCTAACTCAACATTTTGACTTTGTTTACCATCTCATGTCATGCAAACACTTTTAACATCTATATCCCACCATTATCATAATTTTGATTTTGTATCTTCATCATTGTTTTGACTTTTACAAACCGATAATTTTGCCTAAAAAAGATAAACATGGTTAGAACTATGACCAAAAGTTTGACATAAAATCTCAATTTTTGACGTCAAAAGGTTTGAGACATTATTAACATCCAAAGGTTGAACAAACTGTTTCTACTACTACTGCTATCTCTACTATTTAACATCAAAATGTTCAGTGGTCTCTCACAGTTTGACTTAATGTGCAGGTTTTTCTATTGCTACATAGCTAACGTTAGCATTAGCAGCTGTTTACTTACCAAGACCTTCAGAGGTTATAATACGTCCTCTGAACAGCTACGTCTTCAGGACAGACTGGACGCTACAATGACTCGGTATCAGAAAGTGACAAGACAGTCAGACTAGACCGGCGCTAGCTGGTTAGCATGCTAACTTCAGTAGAAGAGAAGATGTGATAGAGACAAAAGTTAACATTGGTGTTAGTTTCCACATCTGGAGACAGATGTTGGTGAGTAAAAGAATGAAGTTTGATACTGAACTTACAATGTTTTTTACTAGGCAGCTGCTAATGCTAACATTAGCTATGTAGCAATAGCAAAACTTACATGTAGCTCCTTTAATGACAATTGACAAATGAGTTTTATCTTTGCGTCTCATAAATTCAACATAGTATCAGAATCATTTGACTGAACATCCTTTGATTCTTAACTGAAAATATAATTTTGACTATTTCTTAATTATTATTTTAATATCTCAGTGTTATATCAAATGTTTTACTGAAGTGTCCCAATGTTAACTCGTGATGTCAGAATTAATTCTCATTGTTTTTATTATATTATTTCACAATTTTTCATCTCAAGTTTGACATTATATCATAATATTTCACAATAAAATACCACTTAATTAAACAGCCATAATTTTGATTTATTTGTCAGTTAATTGATTAACAAATTAATTGGTAATGAGAATAATAGTTTTATTTTTCTAATGGTTCACTGCTGAATGTTTCTATTTCTGTCACATGGAAAAAAAAACAGAGACACAGTTTCTGACTTTAACTGTCCACCTCCATGTCCCCGTGTCCCCCTCTGTCCCCCTCTGTCTCTCTCCTTCATCAATTATTTCCTGCTCATCCAATCTTCCTCTCTCAGGTGTGATGCTCTTGTCGTTGTCTGGTCTCTGGTCCCTGGTCCCTCAGGCCAGGTGGTGCTGTGTGGTCATGAGGACCAGGGGGACATCTTTGTCTCCGGTTCCCAGCAGAGGAAACATCCTCTCAGTGAACTCCGATCCGGTGAAGCTGTAGATCTCTGAGCCCGACTTCACGTTATAGAAGGACACCTGACCCTCGTCCACGTCCAGGAAGACGCCCACCTGACGCAGCTTCTGAGGACACTTCACCTGCAGGACGGACAGAAAGGTCAGCTGAGGTCAGCTGAGGTCAGTTCAAACAGCTGCTGCTGAGACTGACTATCTATGTATATCATCATTTAGACTTCAACGGCCACAACTTTACTTTACTTATAAAGTATTATCTAACTCAAATAATAATTTTAACTTCATCATTTAAACTTGAAAAAACAATGATAATGTTTAAAGTCACTATTTTAATGCACAGCCATAATCTTCATTTAGAAAGTCAGTGTCAAGTTCTGTAAAAGTCAGTTTTTTTTAATTGGAAAGTAAATTTTTACATAAAAAGTCGAATTAACATAAGTCTCAATTTAAATGTAAAAGTCATGATTTTCATGGAAAAAGCCTAAATTTCAACATAAAATGTCACAATTTTATCTCCTGATTATGAAATGATTAAATGATTCATTTAAATAATAATCATATTTTCCTTTGAGGTCATAATCTTAAAAAAAAAAAAAAAAAGGTCCTTTTTAACTTTTAAAGTGTGTAAAGTTTAAGTCATCATTTAGATTTACCATGATTATGATTTACTCATAATTTAAAAGGTTAAAGTATCTCATCATTATGACGTAAACAATAAGAAGTTTCATTTGAAAAGTATCTCATCATTTGAAAACCATCAGTATTTCTTATTTCCATAGAATGTTTAAAGTTTACTGTCACACACTATTGATGATCAATATTCTGATGGAGACAGACTGACCCATATATATGAAGCAGGTGAGGCTCACCTTGGTGAGGGGTGGGGCAGTGAGCGCCCTCAGCTGGCTGCCGCTCCACCAGAGGACGTAGTATCCGTTAGCTGGACTCATGTCGAACAGACCTTTCCTCTGAGCCGACTCACTGACCACGCCCACTTTCCAGTCCTTACTCTCACCAACACACACCTGCAAAGGTGAGACCATGTTAACCCCCGCAACCTTGACCACAGAGTGTGTGTGTGTGTGTGTGTGTGTGTGTGTGTGTGTGTGTGTGTCTGACCTCCCAGTAATGGCGTCCGGAGCTGAATCCCTCTTTAGCGCTGACACAGGACCAGACATCGAACCTGTGTGAACTGTTTCTGTAGAACTGCAGCTTCTCTCCCCTCTTCACCTGCTTCCTGTCCTCCGACAGGATGAGGAAGGGATACGCTGTCACCGGGTTCAACGTCACATCCTCTAAAACCACAACAAGAACACATGCACGTTTTGTCGTAGACTGTCAGACTAAGCTAACTGCGAACAACAGTGTAGAAGTTTAGCTGTGCTTAGACTCAGCTGTGGTTGGAGCCAAATGCTAATGTTAGCAGGCTAACATTAGATAAGTTTTCTAATGAATAAACAGATACTGGACTATGTCAAACTTACCTGGGTTAAGCTAGCTAACTGCTCATAAAATATTAGCTTAGCTGTGGTTTGACCTGGATGGTAATGCTACAAATAGCTAACTCTATCGTATTATTTTACTACGCAAACAATAAAATGCTAACTTGTTACACTTAATATTTAAGGTTTAGTGTGTTTGCTGATTAGTGACTTACAGCATGTTAGCATTTTGTGCTAACAAGACTAATGTAAAATAATAACTAATTAAAAAATAAAAATATGTCAGACTTTATCGGAAATATCTGAAGTTCCAACTGAATTCTAATGTTAGCATGTTAGCCTGCTTCAGTTAGCATTCAGCTGAGGCTCCACGTAAATTTACAGCAACACACTGACTTGGTACCTTGTTGTTGTGCTATCTTTCAATGTACAGTTTCTTGTTTAGAGTCTTATTATTAGTCTGTGTGAAACAACAATGGGAATAATAATAAATATTAATAATAATAAATAATAATAATAATGATACAAATAAATTAAAAAACATATCAATGAATGTTAGCATGCATAAAGTCTCACAGACAGCTGGGTGGAAACGGAGACAGGGAAAGTTTGAAAATAAAAAGCTATAATGATGAAATAATAACCTAATAAAATAATAATCTATAATAGTGAAATAAAAACAAAATTAAAGTTAAATACTCACCCATGTAGACTCGAGCTTTTTTATGTCCTGGAACAGAAGAAACTGATTTTAGTCATGATCCACAAAAATATCAGAAACATGTTTATCATTTATTATAAACACACACACACACACACACACACACACACACACACAAACCTGAGACTGGTTTGATCTTCTTCAGATCTAAAGGGGGAGAGGAAACCATGGTGAGTCCTTTCAAATGAAAAGTCCTCACTGCTGAAACAGTTCTCTGGACCAGCTGCATCACCAGAGCAGATTGACATGTTTGTGCAGACCTCACCTCTCAGAGACCAGTGACTCTTCCTCAGGTTGGCGCTGCTTCCTCTCAGACTGAGCATGCTCTCAGCCGCCATCAGGTCCCCGGAGGAAACTGAAGCACAGGACGGACAGACGCTTTTCACTCATGTATTTCACACGTTTGACTCCAAACCAGCGTCTTTTAGTGTCTTTATAGCGACTCCATGTCTCAACATATAGAAAAATATTTACCATCTGAATTATTTAAAGTTAGATTACTAGTTTACACGGTCCTGAATGGTTCAACACCATAATAATGGTCATATTTTTTTCCTTAATTTGAACCAGAATTGAATCAGTTTCATGGTTTTGATTTGAACTACACCAGAACCAGGACTCAGCACAGTCCTGGTTGAGATATTATATCAGACCTGAACATTTAAATTCCTGTCTGTTGTAAACTCACAGGAGCCTCTGGATCCTCTGGACCGAACCTCCCCCATTCTGATGTCGTCCATCTTGTCCTTCACCTCGGCCAGAGAGCTCTTCACCTCCCCCAGCTGGAAGTGGAGGGATAACTCGGAGTCCTCGTCCACCTCGTTCAGCTGGTCTTCAGCCAGAGGAGCTGCGACCTCCTCGAAACTCTGAGGAGAGAGGAGGAGGAGGAGGAGGAGGAGGAGGAGAAAGTGCTGAGGTCATCACTCCTGACCCAACAGACACTGAACCCTGTATGTCCATGAACAGAAAGAGCTCATTAAGTATTGTTCCCTTGTTGTCTCTTCAAGTGTACATTACACTGATTCTTTCTGCCTGTTTGTTAAGCCCCGCCCCCCTTAGTTACTGTTGCTGACCTTTCATTTTTGTGTTCTAGAATGTTCAACGACAGCCACAGAATGTCTCTGACATCACGTCCTCCTTCACTCAGTCACCACTGAGCAGTGAGCTGGACATGCTATCGTTAGCAGCTAACATTAGCACAGAGCTGTGCCCCTCCTACAAGATCTTCCTCACGTCCTGTGGGTTGACAGGTGTTTGGTTCTCACCTGCAGGAAGCCGATGTGATCCTGACTGATGGCCTGGACCTCCAGCATGGCCCTCCTGTCCGTCAGCTCACTCAGCTCCGCCTCTAAACGGCTCACCAGCCCCTCCCCCTTTGACATCACGGCATCCAGCTGGTTCTGGATCCTGCCCACCACCTCAGTCCGGATCCGGTCCAGGGAACTGGACACCTCGTCCAGCAGGTGTTCAACCTCACCTCGCTCTCTGTCTGCGTAGTTCTGAAACCACAGTCATGTGATTAAAGCCTGTTTGAATCTTTGAGGTCTGAATTCAACTGAAATATTTCATGACATCATCTTTATTTAAGTCTAATGCTGCTCTGAAAACACGAGCAGACAAAAAGATTCTGTGGTTTGGGATTTTTGTCTTAATGTAAATATTAATATTATATGAATAATATAATTTAGTAGTTGGCTATAGTTGAAATAGTTCACTAAAGCTAATGGATGAATAGGAATTCAAACTTCATCAAAACAAACACACAAATCATTACAAAATATTGCAACAGTGAACTTTTATATAGTTAAATACAGTTAAATACAGTTTAAAATCAATTAAAATGAACATGTGGAAAATGATGGGAGGTGTCGAGGGTACGTGAGACAGGGATGTTATATCACATACATACATGGAAAATCTATAAAAATGACTGAATATGAATGAAAGTCTTGAACAGACCTACACAGTCTGAGTCGCCTCCATCTCTCTCAGTCAAACAAACAAACAAACAAACATGTCTGACCTTGACTCCCTCCAGTTTCCTCTTCAGCTCGGTCACATGACTCTCTTTCTCTCTGATCTGGTTCAGGATCTCCTGCTCCGTCCTTGCTACCTGTTTCTGGACACACAGGTGACACAAGTAGAGTCCGTTTAATTGGCTCAACAACATGAGTCCTGCAGGACGTTCAGCGGGAGATCACTGTCCTCTCTACCTGTTTGCTGACTCTCTCTGTCTGGACAGAGACAGTTTTATGTGTTCGATGTTCCTCCAGGACACAAATGGCACAGATACAACGCTGACATGTCCGACAGTACACCTGGACAAGTGAACGCATCAGGGAGAAGGTTAGTTAGTCTTGAGACTGTGTTGGTTTAATTCAAACATTCAAAATGGCCGACAGACTCACACAGTGCACTGTGTAGAAAACAGGGACTGACGTTAGACTTGCTAATTTGTAGATGGCAACTGTTGCTATCTTAACTAAAACTATAGCTGTTACTAGCTAGCTAATTAAGCTAACGTTAGCTCCATGAGTTGGTTAGAAAAGTGGTTCTGACTGATAATTGCTCCCACTGGCTTCAAGCATGGCATTATGCTAACACACTGAGGCTACAGCTAACTGACTGAAACGAAAGCTAACACACTGAGGCTACAGCTATAAGTACTTATTGCTTTAAAAGCTTTCAGTCACATCATCATGGCCTTCCTCAGTTTTTATTTTTTATTTTTATTCATTAATAAAGTAAAACCTTGTATTTGAGTGGCCCCCCAATACTGAACACACTAATGTATATACAGTATACACACACATATACACATATATATATGTGTATATCAGATATATTGACACATGCTGGGTCGGTCTTGCATGAAACTAAACTGATGAAACACAGTAAATAACAATAACGTTTCTCCAGATGACGGCGTATTTCCACTCACCTCGAGCAGACGGCGGTGTATGGAGCAGGTGCGGCCCCGGAGGGCCTCCTGGGGGTCCATCAGTGGGTGTTTGGAGTAGAAGGGCGTGGTCTGGTGTGGCTGCACATGCTCAGTGCAGTATGAGGCTGTGCAGGTGAGACAGGAGCTGACAGCAGGCTGTTTCACACCTGAACAGACGTCACACCACACCACCTCTTCACCTGATGCCGCCGCCGTCACAAACGGATTGGTGCTGTCGGTGTTTGTGATGGTGGTCATGGCGCCCAGCGTCGCTGGCGTCCCGTTCCTGACCGGCATCGGTAACCCTGCGGCTCCATAACGAGCCAGTTTGTATTTATCTGCGATGAGAGCGAAGACTTTGTTGACGCTGAGCTGAGGACGTTCATCAAACTGACGCTTACACAGAGGACAGGTACAGACCGGACTGGACGCCCAGTAACCTCCAATACACGCCTGCAGAGGAACAGAAGAAGAAGAAAGTTCAGACAAAACACAAAAAATCAGCAACAGGTGAGGGCTGAGGACGGGTTTAAACCTACGCTGTCTGGGTCACATGATCACTTCAGTCACTGCTGTGTTTAGTCTGAACCGAGCTCCAACACTGAAGAACCAGAAGCTGCAGTTCCTCTAACGGCCACTAGAGTCTGGCTCCAACAGTGAGTCAGTCCCCATAGACTCCCATGTTAAAATGTCCAACTTTACAGCAGAAATAAACATGTTTACAGCCTGGTACAAAAACTGGTTTGGTCTCTAGAGCTAATTTCCTCCTTCATGACACCTGTTTATATAACTCACCTGTTTCCATTTTATTAAGGACTCCAGTTATGGCGGATTGGGGGCGTGGCCTCTTTGAGTGACAGGTGGGTGAGCGTATGCTTGACACAAAGCTGCTTCTGTTTTTCTTTCAGTTTTCACATTAATGTCTTTTCCTCTCTGTCACTTAAACTGTCGGCTTCTCTGTGAGGTCTGCAGGACCAGGACCAGGACCAGGACCAGGACCAGGCCTGTGAGCGGGGCCTCAGGTGTTGTGTGTGTGGATGTTACCTGGCAGAAGTTGTGTCCACAGGGAGTTGAGACCGGTTCACTGAACAGGTCCAGACAGATGGAGCAGGTCAACTCCTGCTCCGAGAACAGATCTGGAGCCGCCGCCTCCGCCATCGTCATACTGCTGCTGGAGGACAGAGCAGAGGAGCAGGACCACGTCAGACCACATCAGACCACATCAGACCAGATCAGACCACGTCAGACCACGTCAGACCAGATCCGACCACATTAGACCACATTAGACCATATCAGACCAGGTCAGACCAGATCAGACCAGATCAGACCACGTCAGACCACGTCAGACCACATCAGACCAGATCAGACCAGATCAGACCACGTCAGACCACGTCAGACCAGACCAGACCACATCAGACAGCGTCAGACCAGGTCAGACAACTGATTTACAAGAGTTCAATATAAACACAGTCACAATATTTTGTTTCTTAAACAAACTTTTATTGTGAAGCTTTTCCTCATTTCACTTCATTTATTGATTCTTCCTGATCTTCCTCTTCCTGCTGACGCTGCTTTATTCTGAAGGGACATCACAGGTAATGATATCCTCAGGAAGTGATGTCACACTGAATCAGACCAACATGTGGTTCAGGTCTGAAGAACTGAGGCAGGTTCTGAGAACTGGAACTGGTTTAAAGGCAAAGGGGGATCACAGCAAATCCTGATCTGGTCCATGTTTTCTGTTTTACATGTGGGAACGAACAATCTGTGCTTTATATACTTTCCAGTCTCGATGCTAAGCTAGGCTAACCAGGTCCTGACTGCAGCTCTGTGCAGGACTCACAGACATGAGACTGATCCACCTGAACCTGTTCCTGGTTGTGGAGACCTGACCAATCACTGTTCAGCTCTGTGACAAACACTCAGGTAACTCCACCTGAGCTCAGGTTTGTGGATCAGGTTTTAGTTTGTTGAAACCAAACGGAATAAAATGAATCACTGATTTAAATGAAATAAATAACAAACAACCAGATTGTGACACAGAGACGTTGGATCCACGTTTTCAGTTTCTTAAAAACTCAGATTCAGTTTCAAACCAACAACTTTCCTTCACAAATGTTTGAATTTTTAACATTTAAAATAAACTGAAGTTCAACGTCTGTTTTTCATCTGGATTTGAACCTGCTGAAGTTTCATGCTGAAGTTTTAAAGAGTAAAAAAGCAGCAGCTTCTTACCTTCCTCTCTCTGAGTCCAGGTGTTTCTGAAATCCTGAAACTCAGGTTATTGGCAGCCTGTGATGTCATCAGTGGGCGGGGTCTCACTCATAAAGTTGTCAGGTGAGTTTTGGCAGTTGGAGATGTTTGTTCACCTGCTTCATACTCACATTGGTGAAATAATGATTCCACTTCAGAACCAAGAATAAACGATTCTGTTTCTCTGAACCTTTAACACATAAATACGACACCTCATGTTCATTTTTGAAATAGTTTTCTTTTTGTTTTTGAAGATGTGTCCTCAGTGTCATCTGTTGGTAATTTAAATGTATTCATTTATTTTTTATTTTACTAATTTTAAGCCAAAATATATACAATATATTATATATATTTGTATTAAACAATTAAGTAAAATTAATTATAAACAATACAATAAAAATAAAGCAAATATAATTAAGTAAAAATATAATCAACTACAAATAAAATATTTAAATAATTAAATAAAAATATTATAAACAAAACAATAAAAATTAAGTTAATATTTAGATATTAATATAATGAAATAGTTATAAATACAATAAAAATATATTATATATTATTTATTATAATTTATTAGAAATGTATTTTTTGGGGGGTGGGGGTGGGGGGGTCAGGGGTCCTCTGAGCTGGATCTGAGTGAGTCATTGTGATGAGACAGTTACTGTTGAACAGATCAGATTGTGTTTCAGAGGGAGAGACATGTTTGTCATTCTTCCACCTGAGGACAGAGGACAGACAGGACTGAGGACATTCCTGCTGCAGAGTGTGTGTGTGTAGGTGAAGGTGTGTGAGGTGGTGAATCCTGTTTGGCGGGGGCTCGTCCTGGCCTGTGATTGGCTGTTTCGTCAGCCTATGCTCTGTAACTTCATCAACGCTGTGAATCAGTTTCTGACACAAGAAACAAACTGATGAAAAGTTTCATAGAATCATTTTCAGGATGAGTCGAAATGATCAGGACCAAAATATAATCAGGATTAAGTCAAATGAGTTTTAAAAATGAGGAGTTAATAACTCCTCATTAGGATTTTTGAGTTAAATGATGAAATAGTAAATTAATATTATAACTGCTGAGTCACAGTTGTAAGATACTGAGTCATATTTATGATTTTTTAATCACAATCCTAATTATTATTAAGATAATATTGCAGAACAACTAAAGATATTATAAATGATATAAAATGATTCAAGTTAAAACTGAAATACAATAATTTTATCAGTTATCAAATCAACATTATGAGAAACCAAGTCTAAATTCTAAACTTCAAAATGACAATTACAATTATTATAATTTTCACAGTGAACCTGGAGTGATGGTGGATGTTGAATAAAAAAGTAGAAAGCAGATGTTGTGGTTGAAGCAGCAGCTGGTTGCAAGTGTAACTCTTCATTGAACCAGCTGACTGCAGGTCTGATCAGCTGATCAGCTCAGTAACTAAGAGGAAGAGCCGTTCAGTTTCCTCCTGGTTCCAGTCTGAGCTTCAGGATTGAAAAACCAAACAGAGACATGAAACATGTTGAACTGGTTTATTTCTTTTATACAAACGATAAAAACAGACGTGGACAGATACAGACTCGATCAGCGGATCAGCTCGTGTGTCTTCAGCGTCTGAACCAAACCTCAGACCTTTGCCATAACCATGAACTGTCAGTCTACTTCCTTTCAATCATTTTCCAAATCCTTCATCAGATTTGAGGTTTGATCATTTGAAGAGTTTGTAGAAAACGAGCTAAAACATGAAGCAGCAGCAGCAGCTCAGTCCTGAGCCGCGAAGACTCGACGTCTCGTCTCTGGTCGTTGTTTCTGTCAGAAGTCTTTGTAATGCAGCAGCCTGAACACACACAGGAAGTTCAGTTCAACAACAGACACTGAGGGAGCCTGAACATGCTCTGATGTTCAAACACTGATGGAAACAGACGCTGGTTATTAAGGATGTCAGTGATTATAAATATTAATAATTCTATTTTAATTCACGTTTCAGCTTCGTACTGACCTCAGATCAGTTTCTATAGTTTATTCTGTGTGTGTGGCATTAGCACGTTAGCCAACTTCTTTGGAGGAGTAAATAGAAGTGGGAGAAGCTGATTGGCCTACTGACCTGAAGAGGGGGGCGTGTCCTTTGTTGTTGGCCAATGAGAAGAAGCCGCTGTGTGGGGAGAAGTCGAGGCAGCTGGCTCGGTACACGAACTTCCTCTTAGAGACGGGGAAGTTAGAGAAGACGCTGAGGCTGGGCAGGTGGACCTGAGGGGACAGAACCGGGTCAGAACCAGGACCGATACAGGTGAGAACCAGGGTCAGAACCAGGACTGATACAGGGTCAGACCCCCTGATGTTTTCCACCATCAGGACCTTACCAGCCGTATAGCCTCGTCCTCGGCTCGGGACGCAATGGCGAGGATCTCAGACGTGGGGTTAAAGGTCAGGGAGGTCGCTGAGGTCAGCAGGTTCATCACCGCTTTCAGGGGCTTTGGATTGGCCGAATTTAGACACGCCTCCTGAGAATAGACGTTGACCACGCCCGACTGAGAGCTGAAACAGACAGAAGATCAGCACTAGTTTAACACCTGGGACAGTCAGCTGTCAGCCAATCAGGAAGCAGGATGTGTGTGTGGGGGCGTGTCTCACCCGCAGGCCAGGTACTGTCCGTTACGTGAGGCGGCGATGGACGTCCCCTTCACACAGCCGTCATCTGCAAACCTGTTCACACACCGGCTGCTGCGCATGTCCCACACATACACCTCCCCCTCCTCTGCGCGCACACACACACACACACACACACACACACACACACACACACACACACACACACACACACACACACACACACACACACACACACACACACACACGTCACATGACTGACACAGGAAGGTGATGTGTGATGTCACACATTCCTTGAACATCATGAACTCACCTGAGTTGATGAAGACTTTGCTGCCGTCATGGGAGAAGGCGACGCCACTGACGTCCCCATTAATCTTCATACTATGAATAACCTCCTTAGTCTGAACACAGACACACACACACACACACACTTCATATATATATATATATATATCTTTTTATTTCTTCCATCTCCACATTTCAATTAATTTTATATCATTTTGACTTTACATCATCAGTTTGTTATTTTCAGTTTATTTTTTAATTCAGTTTTTTAATCATTTAATTATATCTTTGTTTGTATTTTATATTGATATGTATATTTTTTAAACTGAGCATAATTTAAGTTTATTTCTGTATTTTTATTCATGAATCCACAATTTTTTTAAATTTTGAATCGTAACTGAGTTTTTTCATTTTATTTTAAATTTACTTTATTAATTTTACTTAAACAGTCAAATTGAGACTTTTGAGTTTAAAAATATTATAAATGTCAGTTTATAATTCATCAAACGAGTGACTCTCAGACGTCACGTCAGAGGACGCATGAAGGAAGAAGAAGAAGAAGCAGAGTTACCTTGAGTGTGAGGAGGTGCAGGTATCCATTGGTGCCTGTGAGCAGCAGAGCGCCTCCTTCAGGACAAACCGAGAACTCCTTCACTCTGGCTTCATTCAGACCTGAACAACAAACAACAGCTGTTTACAGACTCTTATTCTGAAAGGCTTCAGGTGGATGTCCACAGGTATGGCTCAGACTGAGGACAACTGAACACTGCACTTCAGTGTCTGTTTTTCTCCTGACCTCTGACCTCTGACTGACCTCTGACGGAGTGAACAGGTGTGACCCGGCCCTCCATCATGTCGTACAGGTAGAACATCTTGTTCTTCAGGCTGGTGGCGATCACCGTCTCTCCGTCGCGGCTGAACTGAGCTTTGTGGACGGGGAAACGCTCCAGGTGGATGCTCTGGATCTTCGGGTTTGTCTTCCCATCCACCTGCAGGAGGAGACACACACACACACACCGTTGTAAAGTCACATGATCTACTCCACCTGACCTTGGAGGGCCGACCGGCTGTCTGTACCTGAAAGAGCGACACTGATTGGTCGAGGCCGGCCGTCATGACGACCTGGGCGGAGGGGTGGAACTGGACCGTGGTCAGTCTGTCCTCTGACGGACGAGCGCTGTTGGCGTGAAGACACTTTTTCATCTGAGACAGGAAGGAAGAATAAACACATCAGCATCACCAGCAGCAGGGGGCGGAGCTTCCTATGGCAGGGATGATGAAAATGAGTGACATTCTTGATTTAAAATAAAACAGCAAACAGCTGTTCTCTATGTAAAGATATAGTGGAATAATGGTGTCCTGAGCCAAGACCGAAGCCACGCCCCCTCTGTGTGTGATGTCATCAGAGTTTATCTGTTCTTTGTTTTGACAGCATGTTCATGTTAGTGCAGGTGAGTCTCTCCTGTTAAACCAGTGGCCTTCCCCACATTTATAAACACGCAGGCTCCGCCCACAGGTGTGATGTCACAACGCAATCTGCAGCGTTCACGTGACAGTGACCTTCCAGAATTTCCTCCACTGATGAAGAAACCATGTTTTCATATAAAAAGGCCTCAGACACAGAAAGAGACGAGACCAGAGCACAGGTGGACTGGACTGAGGACTACTGGCTCAGATCCTGGTCGGCAGGTGGACCGTCAAACATCCAGAAAGGTTTTAAAGACTTGACCTGCTCCGTCAGTGTCTTTACCTGCTCCGTCAGTGTCTTTACCTGCTCCGTCAGTGTCTTAACCTGCTCCGTCAGTGTCATTACCTGCTCCGTCAGTGTCTTAACCTGCTCCGTCAGTGTCATTACCTGCTCCGTCAGTGTCATTACCTGCTCCGTCAGTGTCTTTACCTGCTCCGTCAGTGTCATTACCTGCTCCGTCAGTGTCTTTACCTGCTCCGTCAGTGTCTTTACCTCTGTCAGTGTCTTTACCTCTGTCAGTGTCTTTACCTGCTCCGTCAGTGTCTTAACCTGCTCTGTCAGTGTCATTACCTTCGGTTGTGACCGATAAAGTATTAGTTTTGGTCTGATCAGCTTATGGTCTATAGCGACATCTAGTGGCCATGATGAT